GATCAAGTATCCACCATCATAAAGACTGAAAAATAAAATTGACAAAGATTATTGTTTAAGGTTGACGGACACGCATGTCTTAATTAGTTTTTAGTTTTTTTTTTTTTTTTTTTTTTTTTTTTTTTTTTTAATTGGTCAAACTCAAACAAAAACATTTTCAATCATTATGAGTCTATCGATTGAATAGAATTTTATTATAAACAATTGTCTTGTAAATGGAATTTTTAAAGCATTCTGAATGTTAAAAATAAAAAAGTGTGCAAGAGAATAAGAAACACTACCTGCCAAAAAAAAAAAAAAAAAAAGTGAAGTTTTGTTTTATCAGCTGAAAAATATAGGAAATCCACTCCCATATTTAAAGGAACCTATACACACAAACAACCCGATGTGAGTTGTCCCACTTCCATTTTCACGATGTCTCTTAATCGTGTTTTCAAATTGATTTTGTGCAAAACAATTATATTTATCCCATTTTTGGCAGTTAGAACCACCACAAGGTAATTTTATGTAGTCCTGTGAAGTTTTGTTGAAAAATGTAGGAAATCCGATATATAAACGTTACAGACACACAATCTGCGTTTTATAATAAGTAATATATATATATATATATATATATATATATATATGACGTTTTTTAACCAAAAAAAAAAAAAATTAGTGCAATTTCGGGGAAAATCACACACATATTCTCGACAAATTTAGTAGCAATTCCGATTTTACTTTGCCATCATGAATCAATTTATATGGTATTCAAAGTTATAAAAATGATACTAGCTGTATTTCCTCAACTAACCATAACAGATTTTAGTCCTTTCACTTATCAGGGTGATGTAGCATTTAAATCTGTGGCTAAGAAATAGCTAAGATTTTATTCAGATTTCCATAACTATATTATTTTATATTTTAATAATGTAAAATCAGTTCTGAATATGTTAGAAACTTTTTTTTTTTTTTGCCAATTTCCACCTTTCAATTGCCAGTGTAACTTAGCTTCCCCAAAAGCTAAAAAAAAAAAAAAAAAAAAATGCTTCTGGATGGATGAAATGACAGACAACACATATGGGGGGGTGAAGGCTGATAGTGTCATTGTGAAGGTGTTCAATTTAGGGTATGCATTAAAAAGTAGTTTTATTTAACTTGTTTTTAGTGTTAAAAAGGTTTCTGTTGAACAAATTTGAACTCAGATCATGCAATTTGCTTTTTCATTCCAGAAAAATTTGGTAACTGTCAAACTTTTAGTATTTTCTACACTAGACAAAATCCTTAATTCTAAAAACAATTTCCCAATTTCAAATTCTTAATGGCAAGGAGTTAGCATTATTTACATGTGGTCTATTGTCCTGATTTTCACAATATTTCCGCAAATTTTTCCCCCTCTGGCCTTCATCATGTGTATTTTGATCCAGTTAAACTTACAAGGAATTCTGAACTGAACCCTTTATTACCCAGATCAACATACATCTGTTGAAATTAATTGAAAAGGTACAATGGCCAAAACTTTGTAATAACAAAGATGAGGATAATTACTCCCCCATATGTAAACAAAAGATTTTCTTTTTAATTTTTATATTTTAAAAAGAAATAACTGAAATATTTTCTTAATTTCCTTGGGCCTCCATTGCTGTCAACAGTATTCTGAGTAATCACTTTTCAACAGGATTGTTGAAATTTATGTTTTTGATTTATTAACGTAATATCTGAACTGCCATGTCTAACAAACTAAATATATTGTATCATTATAGAGCTAATAATTAAAATACTTTTTTTTCTTTCTCACTACCCTTTTCAATTTCTATCTTTTCATTGGTCTTCAAATTCAACCATCATACAAATTATCTTCCACTTTTGCATCATAATAATTCTTCATTTTAGCATTGATGGCAACAATGAACACAGTTATGACAGGCATGGCCAAGACAACTCTGCATGGAGAACAATAAGTCTCTTGGACTTGAAATCTTGATGTAGTTTCATTTCTTTCATATGACAAAAGCACATTGGCATTAAAATTCAACTGTTGTAAAAGTAAGTTTAAGGGGAGCAAAAGAGTTGGAGGGTGAAATTGTGTCACAAAAATAAAAGTATTTCAAGTACCAGGGAGGCAATGAATCAGTCAAACTCCTGTTCATCATACCAGGACAGTATCATTTTTTTTTTCTCCTTTACATTCCTAAACAAATCAAAATCTACATGACATGTTGCAAATACTTTTTTGCCGACACCTGACTGGTCAGGGATTGACCAATTTTTGTCCTTAGCTATGACCACTCAACATTAAAAAAATAACTGTCACATCCTGCCTTGGTGGGGGAAGTCAAGTAGATGAACAAGTCAACAAATTTGATTACAAATATTTTTATTTTTTTTCCCTATCTTTTATACAGTTCAATTTCTGATGGTCACATGAATGGAAGATATATATATATATATATAACAGAATTTGAAGTTACTTTTTTTTTTTTTCCCCCAGTCAAAAGAGAAAAATGTTTGATATATTACCAACCAAGAGTAATTTTTATCAGATTTTTCTTTTGAAAATTAGAACAAATATAAAAAGTTCAATTTTGTTGGACAATTGAATGTGTGGAGATCATTTTTTAGTAATTCATTAAATTTAATTCTTGAGTTCCCATATCAATTTATTTTTTCTGAGCAGTTAATCTAGGTACCTCTGCAAAATCGCTAAAAAAAAAAAAAAAAAAGCATAGCTTGATGAAAAAGATGCCAAACTTGCCGAAAACAAAATTATCGTCTAAATTCTTATGTTATTATTAAGAGGAAAGACCAAAGTTTTTTTTTTTATTATTTTTTTTAAAATTTTTCCTTTTTAGAACACTCTAAATTTTGATTAAAAATACCTTGTTTCTCTTTGTATCACCGGAACTAGTAAAATAACAGACAATTTTTAGCACGTTTTTTTTGGTATGACACATTAATTTGGAAAATCTTGCAAAAGTAATTGTCAGATGTTAATGAAACTTTCAGGAACTATTCACAGATGATCGAATTTACTATATATATTTTTTTTTTTTTTTATATATATATTTAAAAATGTAAAAAAAAAAAAAAATTTGACAAGGCAAAGAAAGTGATGGTAAGTGTTGCAGGTGTTTAGGAAATCGTCAGAAACACTGATAAAGGTAATTGCATTAAATCTCAATGGTTTATGTTGGAATTGTTCTTCTCATAATGAAGAATGACTGACACCATGATTAGCAAGGGACTCCTTGCCTCATGTTTTTCTATGCTCACTGGTGCTCCAGTTTTGTGGACTTTTGTCAGACTTAAATTGCCAAGTAGATATTCTGGAGGTACAAGCCATGTTGGTTAACAAGCTCAATTCAGAAAATTGGTAATCTGATAATGGTGATCCTCATTGGAGGTCTAATTGTTTTTAACACTGAGCCAGATAAAAATTAAGCTCTCTCTATATATATATATATATATATATATACATATACACTAGGTTAAAAACTGAACTGCCTCCTATGGAGAGCTCATGATTGGGCCTTCATCACATTAGATAGTCAGGGAGTAGATGCAATAGGCATCAATAAACTACAGAAAACTTCAAACTGATCACTGCATTTAAATATTGCATTAATATTTAAGCTTGCCTTTGAAAAGTTCAAGCATAATTCTTCTGTCAACATTTAATTTAAAGACAATTTAATGTAGGTCCTTAATTTCCATACAACCAATTATTTTTATTTCATGGGTGACTTTTGCAATTAATTTTGATTATTCCTAAGTTAGAAAAATTATCATACAAAAAAAAAAAAAAAAAAAAACTTGTCACAAATCGTGTTAAAATTGCCAAAAACAATTGCAGTAATGAAAACTTGGGAATCCAAAATTTCAGGATTGTGGGTCTGGATCTGCTCCAGAATGTTTTTACTTTGATCATGGAGTTGGCTTGATTTTAAAATGGTATGATATTGGGCTACGGCCTCTAGGAGTAAAGTTGAAAGCACAGACAATGAAACCCTGTAATTTGAGAACTAATTTTTTTTATTTGGACGAGCTACTGAAAGTTAGAGTTATGTCCCTTTAATTGTTTTTATCAGAAAAGGCCAAAAATGGCAGAATCCAAAAACAATCACAGTAATGAAAAATTGGAAATCCAAAATTTTAGGATTGCAGATCTGGATCCAGCCCAACTCCAAAATGGCATATGTTGTGCTAAAACCTCCAGGAGTAAAATTTGAAAAAGATGAGGAAAACTATTCTTTTCTTCCTTATATAAACTTGCCAGAAAAGTTTGAAGTTTTGGGTTTTGTTTTTCTTCTGGCTTTCATTTATTGTTACTAAATTTTAAAGTAATATGAAGCATAAAATTTGTAAGTCTTTTTCATGTTTTTAAAACAGGAAAAAGTATCCTAGAAAAGATCTGAGCTAAATATTTTTGCATCAGAATATAAGGATGACAACTAATTGTTTTCTGCATTTTTTAATAAGATTTTGAATCCGCAATTAAGAAATGAACAAAAATAGTTGCAAACATGAGTAATTTACGATTATATTGGTTTTCCTTGCTTGAATGCTAATTACTGAATTTAGAGATTACTTTAATCATGTAACAAATTTTGATGAAATTGACAGATTTTCTTACTGGTATGAAGTTCCAAAAAAGTTCTGTTTTTTTTTTTTTTTTTTTTTTTTCAAAAAAAAATTAATTCAGTCAACAATTAAATAGTTTATTCCAATCTTACCTTTCAAATAAGTAGATTTCTAAAAATGTGTGGAATTTTTTTTTTTTAAATGTCAGATTAACAAAAATAAGAGTTATTATTAATATGTTCCTTTTTGGACAAAAAAAAAAAAAGAATTCTAAAGTAGGCCTGATATTTCAATGAGAAAAGGAAGTATTAACAATTGACCATAATTTTTTTTTTTTTTAATCTGTCAAAAAAAAAAAAAAAAAGTTTGGAAGCTTTCCTACTCACAGAGTAAGAGGAGACCAAATTTTATACTGATAAAACACACATGCCAAAGAATTCTCAAATAAATACAGGTTCTTCATTCTTTTCCGTTTTTAATTTGATCTTCTTGAAAAAAGGTTTTGTGAATAATAATTCTGCCTCCTCCAATGATTTTCCTTTGGTTTCTGGAAGACAAAGGAACCAGAATACCCAGCCAATGAGAGTGACACAGGCCATCAAAAGAAATGTCCCTGAGCGGGGAGAAAAGAAAGCATTAAATGAAAACAGTTTTTAAACCATTTTATTCATTTTTTTTTTTTTAAATGAAAAGAAATAAATACCATTTAGAAGTATTCATTGGATACAATTGAAGTACAAAATAAATTCTTTACGATTGGAGGAAAATATTGCATAAATAAGCAAATGCCTATCAACCCAAATTGATGTTTAATATATACTTAAATTTTGCCACTATATTTATAGTGGAACTGCTCAGTATCAGAGTATATTGAATGAGCTACCCTTAATCTACCAATGACCTATATATATATATATATATATAGGTCATGAAAAAGTAGCATAATTTGTTATGCAGATTGAACTATGGTGTGAAATTAAGTCACTATGCAATTAGTGCAAATTTGTTTAATAAGATTTTTCGAACATTCAGTCCAGCAGACAAAAATTAATAAATAAACAGAGCATCTACTAAAATAACATTTAAAGTCATAGTCATATATATATATATATATATATATATATATCTCCACCCACACCTTTTGACAATGTGTGGGTATATTGTGTTACTACACAAACTCTAGCTATAGCATCTATAAAAAGTCTTCTCAATTATCAAGTCCTTCCTATCGGGCAAGTACATGAAAGTCATTGTTAATGGCCACAGTCTGCAGAAGCGCACTTATGCATGATCAACATAGAGACTCCCTGGGGTAAGAACTATTTTTTTTTTTTTCTCTTTCTTTCCTTCTTTCTCTCCTACAGTTTTTCTGCTTCATATTAATAATTAGTAAATATATTTGCAGATGGATGATACCACAGTTTATGTGGCCACCCCCCAAGAGTTAAAGATGACATGAGAGCCTAGCTGTTGATCTATCCTTGCACAGCTCAATGAGGGGGGGGGAGTGGCTTGTAACATTCAATACCTGCAAAACCTTTTGCTAGTAATATCTCTTCATCCCAGCAGAGCCAGAGTTTTCTCCACTCCTGATGAGGTTCCTTGTATGGAATATTGAGTGATGCTCAAGCTATGTCCAATCCATTGGTAAAGAGATTGGGAAGAAATAAAAAGAAAGAAGGAAAGAAAAATGTTCAGTTCCGTTTTGTTCCAGAAAGTACTTCTGCCATTTTCTGTCCAGATCAGACCAAAAATGGAGGACTGCTACTGGAGCTTGCACAATCCTTGTTTTTCAGTGTTTGCAGAGTTCAAAAGCATTATGCATCCTTGTGTGGGTGGAGCATGATTTTCAATAACCCTACAACTTCCCACTACTCTATTACTAGTTCCATGGCAAATGTTCAAAACACCTACATTACTTGGTTCCACTAGTTCAGGCCGACATGGCATGCCATGAACAGAGTCAACCAACCCAAATTTTGTTAATATTTCATTAGTAAGGAAGTTTGTAAGTGTAAGCGTTCTCAAAGCAAATTTGTCGCAGATTACTCTCCCAACAAACGCCGTAGCCAAAAATGCCCGAATTTTCCTTCCACCGAATCGAGAACACCAACTGCTTTTATCGGCAGAACCTATTTTTTCATTCGTCGACAGCTGGGATAGGATGCTCCGTAATTTGCATATCAATATCCTCTTATAGCGACTCCTGCGACGGACTTATTTCTTGTTCCGTCACAGAATACACGCGATGTGCCGTTGCTTAGGTTGACGAGGTAAGTCGCCGTTTTCTTCGCTATAAGATTTTTGCTGACTACTTTTTGGTAGTCCTTCTTCGGCAGATCACATACAAAACACAAATAGGTGCTAGCCCTACCTCCGATGGTAATTATTTGTTCACTTTCTGAGCACTCACTGCTAGTGTCACTTGTTGACATATCTGTACCTACATAGTGACGCAATATGCCCCACCCGGTACCGGGTTGTACACCGGCTATGTTGAGCTTTCACCCACACGCGATCGCCCAAGTCATACGGCACACGTTCGTTTATCCGTTCAGTTGAACGCGTTGCGTCAATGCCTCGTAGCCGGACTTTGTACTGATAAATTATGTTGGCTGGCGCAGTTGAGGGCGATACATTATTGTCTCTCGGAGTAACATTGTACCAATACACCGCCTCCATTATGGAACACTGCTTCCTAGCAGCAATTCTTTTGATGTCCGATGACATCGCCGATTATGCCATTCCCCTGATGGGACATATCGCAGCAAAATCTGAGGTGTACTCCCCACGAATCCAGAAAATCTTTGAATAGTCCACTGCGGAATGCAGTGTCGTTGTCAGAACAAGTGGTCAATGATGCTTGCGGAATCCTGTCGACGCAGACACCGCCAAATAGTGAACCGAGTTGGGCCACAGTCAATCAGGGTTAAATAGTGATGTCCGTTATAATGGGTGATGTCCATTCCAACACGGTGCCACACCTTGGTTACACTCACTTGTCCTTTTTGCCATTGCACGGGTGCTGGGTCGATGGACTGACACTCCTTGCATCCTCTGACCACTGCCCTGACAGCAGCTTTGGATACGGAGGGATAAATCTGCCTCACGAAATATAGGGTCCGTTTTACACCGGGATGTCCACTTTGGCAATGCACAGATTTTAGTAAATCTGAGTTATGGTTGCTCGCTGATGTTACACAGACATGTCCTACCGGCTCTACCTCTTCCTTAATAGCGTCAAGCCATTTTTGGGGTACCCTTCTTAAAGTATCGGCCTTGTTCTGCTGTGATCTGACCAGCTGTATGTCTACGGATAAGTGGTATTCACTTACCAACTTTCCCAGTGTGTCTAGCCACCTTCGAATGAGCATCGCACCGCTTCGCAGCCTTTGTAATGTATCCTAGCCTTCCCCGTAAGAGTGTCTGCTATCCACTTATACACACATGCAGAATCCGTGAATAAATGCAATACCTTTGCATTCCATTGAAGGGCCGCGGTGACTCCCCTGATAACGGCGTCTAATTCTGACAGGTTGATATGTTGCATATCCTTCTCGGTACGCAACCAATACACATCTTCCACAACAGTTTCACCTACTTCAAGAGACACTCCTGTTGCAAGGGAGCTTGTGTCGACCCAGACGTTAAATTCACATCCGTCAACGCACCATTTACCACGTACAGGATCGTCTTTACGCACCCTAGTAATGACTTCCACTATCATGTGTCTAAGGGGAGCATCATTGGTTGTGTCATCCCAACCGGAAGTGACAGCAGTCACCCTACGTTTAATAAATGCAGTTGCAATGCGGATCCACTCGCCCACGGGAAAATGTCCCACCAGCTTTCCACATAACGAAAACACGCTGCATCGGGTCATGTGTTTGGGAATGTCCGGGAGCTCGCTTCCATGTCTCCAGTAAAGCATGTTGTGCTCCTCCTAGACCTGCAAGCCAAGCACACGAGCACCATCCTCCAGTCGTTCTGGGTTCTTACATTTGAGCCCAAAGTCAGCAAGATGCTTTCTCACCTGTGAAGCGGGTACTAAGGTTTTGTTGATGCAGATGTTGTCAATGTAGGCCGACGTCGCTTGACGAATTGTCTCATCCTGGGATAGCACAGCATCCACGATGGCTTTCATGATGGCTGGTAGTACTTTTTTTTTTTTTAGTGGTGTTTAGGTTAGAATACATTGTCGCTTGGGTTGACGAGGTAAGTCGCCGTTTTCTTCGCTATAAGATTTTTGCGGACTACTTTTTGATAATCCTTCTTCGGCAGATCGCACACAAAACATGGACTTTTTTCCGAGGTACCTGATTATCTCTTTCACTACAAAGTTCCACTGAGCTTCTTCCCCAGAACTGTTACATTGTGCAACAAACTCCTGAAACTACAACTGCTTTAAGCCTAAGGTCAAGGCATTATTTATCCTACATATCCTGCACTTTTTACTCCCTCTTTGTATACCCTTACAACTTCGTTCATTAACCTTCTGTCTTGAGTAGACAATAGTGTTGAAAAAAAAAAAATTACATGTGTGAGTGTGTGTGCACATGTGTGAGTTTTTCCATATTTAAATCAACTGACATATCTGCTACTATTTCTATAAATCTAGAAACAAAAAAAAAAAAAAAAAAAAAAATGGTAAAAGAGGAAGGAGTACTTACCATAAGTTGTGAGACACTGAATCAGTGTAAGAAATGTTCCTGTCATCAACCAAGAGAATAGCCACATAATGCTGGAACTGATTGAATTACTAATTCCCCGAGCCCACATTGGATAGATTTCAGAACATATTGTCCATGGCAAAGATCCTAAACCTTCAATGAAAAATAAAGAAAAGTTTTAATTTCAAAATTCATACAGAGAAAGAAAAATTACTAAATTTCACAAAACATACTTTCATTGCCAATTCAAATTGAAGTCTTTAGTGGTTACTCCCTAAATATTAGGGAATTTTGAATATGACAATAAGCTACATCCAGTAGCAAGGCCTGATTGTGAGAAGCATAAAACCACTTAATTGCTGTTGTTCCCAGGTCTACCTAACCCAGGGTGGTAGCACCTGTTAGGGTCCCAACTATAGGCAAATAGTTAACCCCCCCAAACTGGGGTCAAAATACTATGAAAGTAAAAAATACATTTTTATAGTAAAATACTAGCATTTGTGGGGGAAAAAAATTCTACCAATACATTTTTCTAAAAGAAATGAGTAATGCTCCAAAGAATTTTGGCATTAAATGACCCATGAGAAGTTGATGTGCTGCTAAACAAACAAATTTGAGCATGAAATGATGCAATGGGTTTTGATATGACATAAATCAAACCAAAACTAAATATCAGGAATAAAGAAAAAGTTGGTCATAAAATTAAGATTTACTATTTTGGGAAACAGAGTTTTCTCCTGATTTCTTTGTTCTTTAGAATTAACAACAAAATAATAAACACTATTAGATTGTTTATTGGAATGGTTGGCAAAACATTGACTAATTGCCAATCAATTCAAACTTTATAAAATGGTAAATGATAAATATTGCATTGGTTTTAATACAATTGTATTAGTTTTTAGAATGTTGTAAATATAAAATTATTTTTGTAAATAAAAAAACCTAATAAATAAAGTGTTTAATTTTTTGTTTATTCTCAAGAACAAAGAAAATGTAAAAATTCACTTTCAAACGTTTCAGTTTTAGAGTTTCAGTTCAAAAAGACTTTTTTTAAAGAAAAGGCAAAAAAAAAAAATTTTAAATAGACTAATGTCTCAGATAAAGCAAAAATGTCTCACCTGAAGCAAAAAACAAAAGGTAAAGTATTTGACCAGCCATGATGAAATAAGCAAAATTTGAGGGACAAAAGTCTGATTGCCACTTTAGATGGAATGGAGAATGGTCACCCAAAAAGGTGCTGTTACATCGGCCCAGTTTAGAATAAGAATTTGTCATTTTTAAGGCAGGCAAACAGGATCCATTGACTGGACCCAAAATGGGATGTTCTTGATAGCAGAATCCACACAATGGATCCAATACACACTTTGCACAGGTTCTGTAAAAAGGTAAAGATTTTTGTTTTGTTTTTTAAAATTAAGGTTGCAATTAAAAAAATGTTTAGTGGAAAAATGTCTTTTTCCTTGACTTTACATGCAAATCTAATAAAATACCAAGTGTTGTGATGATCATGAATTATCAGTGATAGTCCCAGACTCTTCTGGTTTTTGTCAGTTGACATTCAACTGAATTCCCCAAGGGAATATTTTTTTTTTCTATTGCATCTTTGTAGTAAGAAAGTTTCACTGTGAGTGCAAAATATTTTCTCTATTTTGAACTTTAATGATTTAAAAAAAAAAAAAAAAAAAAAAAAAAAAAGTTTAATTCAGAAAAATAAGGAAAAAAAAATATAGTACAAGTCATTATTTTACAAAAAAGAAATGGGGGGGGAGGCTTAAGTGAAAAAAAATGTTATTTTAAACGAAAGCTGACCTTTGGTGACGATGTTTTTCTTTTTTTTCTGTCCCCAAAATGAAATCGTTTACAATACAGATCATAAAGGTCATCAACTAATTTGACCTTTGATGACATCAAAGTTCAAATTTTCATATTTTATTTGTAAGGTCAAAAAATATTTTTGTATTTCAAACTAAATATCTTAAGGCATTTTGCTATAAATGAGGGGTAACCGATATAAAGCCAATATCATTGAGTTTTTGTGGTTATTCATGCAAAAAAAAAAAAAAAAAGCCACTTTCAATTTTGTCATAACATATGAACAAATATGTAAACTTTGTGGGGTGTGTTTATATAATTTGTGGAGATATTTCAATACAAAAAAAGCAAACAAAAAAAATTTCAAAGCCAGAGTGCAAAACATTACAAAAAATAAAATATGAAGTTACATTTCTTTTTATTCATCTAGAAACCTGAATATGTAACTCGAAAATACCATATTAAAATAAAAAAAAAAAAAAAAAATTCAAATAATTTACTGGATATACAAATTTGTAATGTACAACAAAGTGAAAAAAATTTATAAATACTGATCAAATTCATTCTGGCACAAGGCCAATGTAGTGTGCATTGAACTCACTATAAAAACAATTGAGAGTTCAGTTTATTATTCATTACTCTATAGCAGGCACCCTATCCTTGTTTAATTTTGAAAAATACGAACCTGTACATTCCACAAGGAGTAAAATTTGCATTGGGTTCCACAAAGGACACGACAGGTGATTGTACTTCAATTTGCCAAAATGCAAGGCTAACCATTATCAAAGAAACTATGACACCTGAATAAAAAAGAAAAGAGGTTAATATATTAGTAAATATCCCAAAATGGCCTTTTTATTTATTATAAGCTTCAAACTTGAATAAAATTCAAATCAGAAACTAAAATTCTTACAAAACAAACAAGGATAAAATATTAATTTAATTATTCTTCCAATTCATACTTTTTAGCAATTAAATATATTCTTAGAACATGAAGAAAGTTTGATTCTATAATTTATAACCTGTGATATAAAAAAGTCAATGGTAAAAAGCCATTGTAATGTAAAAGTTTTGTCTAAATAGAATTGGCTACAAACAATTCTGTAAATTCTTTTTTTTTTTAGTTACAAATATTTACACAGCCCAAGAGCCACTCAAGGTAGAGGGTTACTGTATGAATGGAGGAGGAGGTAAAAAGTGCAGTTTATGTGGATGTGCAGGAAAGATAATAACCCTAGACTTGAAGAGATTTAAGATAATATAGATGGAGAAAATAACCTCTGGGTTCTGGATTTTTTTTTTCTTTTTTACAGTTTATCAACTCTTTATGGCTTATTTAAAGCTGAAACATTTTGTATTATAAGAATAATTGTTTTCTGCAAGTAAATATTGCATTAACATTTTTCTTCTTTTGGGAATAACAATGATTTTTCCAGATACAAGTCATACTATTTAACCCATGACTGGCTGGGGGAGATAGATTAATCTTTTTTCGTAAGGGTATTTGTGCCTAAATAATAAAACCACTAGGAATTTGAACTTGGCTCTCAAATTTCTCATTCGCCATCCATTACATCACCCACACATCTCCATCCTCCCGGGAGCCTGTTCCACAAAGTAGCTGTTCATGAGAAGAAGCTGCCCAAGTGAAACTTCCTTCTTATTAATGGAATACAAAAGGTTAGAACTGGTGGAACTAAGGAATGCCACTTGTCAGAACATTTGCCATAGAGATAATGATAGAGCAACAAGAGGCTTGCAATGTTTTGTTTGTGGGAAAGGGGTTGTAGGGTGAGAAATAATTCATCACTCACAAGGTTGTGCATAGATGCTTTTGAACACTATAAGGACTGTCAAGTGAGGACAAGGCCACTCCAGCCCAGATATGACAACAGTATTCCATTTTTGGTCTGATTTGGCTAAAGTAAAGGGTATAGCAGAAGGGGTCGGATACTTTCTGGAGTGGTACAAGGAACTGACCATTTTCCAGCATCTTTAGTGATGGCTCGTATCCAGGAGTTCCACTTGAGATCCAGGTGTTCAAGGCAAAGAGCCTCCTTTGAGAACAACTTTGTGAGAAATTGCATGCAATTTACTAGAAGTCTGACGACCGATTTTCAAAATGCATTTTGGTAGCATTTATTACAATATGTGGTTTTAAATTTATTGTCAGTCAACACGTAGACGTGGGAAAAAGACCCCAAAATTGATTAACTTGAAAAGGGGAAGACAATCCTGCAATTAATGTTAGGTAGGGATTGTAAAAAGACTAGAGTTATCTTCCCTTGATGAGGACTACACCTATGTTGAAGAATTTATGAAGATCATGTCATTTAAGAAAAGGTTAAATGTCAGGCAGATTTAGGATTATTAAATTTAGAAGATTAAAACAATTTTTTAAATAATAATCTAGTTGTGCTAAAAAGTGTCAGTGGCCCTCCTTGCAGTTAGGCATTGCTATGGTTTGATATAACAACTCTTTGCTCTAAACTGAACATTGTGGCAATTCAAAACTGCCTGAAATAAACCTTTGTAGGTTATTTAAAGTAAAAACATTTTTAATAGTTTTTTTTTTTTTTAGAATAATAATGATTTTTCTAGATAACTGGAAAAGATCCATAGCTTTCCCAAGGATATTTGTACATAAGGGAATGTCCTTGAAAAGTGGAAAACAATTTAGAAACAAGGATTCCCAAAGATGAAAAATAAAAACTTAAATATTAATAAAGTGAATTATTATTAGTGACTAAAGAAAAAAAATCAAAAGAATTAATGATCACTTTTTTTTTTTTTAAATTTCTGTAGGTTTCCTTAACTGTGGGTAGAATGGGCTTTCTACCCTTAATAGGGCAAGCAATCTGGAGAAGAACAAAAGGAAATCACTATCTTTTTGAATTATTGTCATGGCAATACAAAGTGGAAATATTAAAGACAAGAAAATTGTAGAGAATTATAATTGCCTCTGTCCCAAAAGGACACAGTTTAAATTTATTTTAAGTATTCCCCCCGCCCACAACACCATGTTTTAAAGATAATTCTGATAAAAAAATTAAAATTATTGAATTGAAGAGAGAAACCTGTAAACATTTTTTTTTTTTTTTTTTAATTTAAATTGCAATAGAATAAAAACTTTTTCATTTTTGGTTCAAATTAAAACAGACAATTTTAGTAGAAGAGAAAGAAATGTTTTGCATTAAGTGTATTGTCTATAAACTTTAAATTGCCAATAACATCCCAAACTATTTCCCAAGTAACCTATCTATAAGTCCGGTACTCCTGTTATATATTTAGAGATTCTTGATAAAATCCAAAGACGAATCTGCTATGTTATTGGTCCTAACCCAACATCTTAGCTTCAATGACCATAATGTAACTTCCCTCTGCCTTTTCTGTAAATACTTTCATGGTAATTGTTTGGATGACCTTTTCACAATCATACCTAGACTTTATGAATTTAAGCACAGTACTAGATTAGTGGCAAGGTCTCCTCAATTTACATTTGAGTTGGCTAGATGTAACTGTAAATTCTATGCTAATAGTTTTTCTCACACTTCTCACTAGTGGAACTCTCCCGGCGCCATGCTTTTCAGTCAACTTTGATCTTCAAAATTTAAGTGTCATATCAATCACCATCTACTATCTTCCTGATTAATCTTCTATTGTTCTTTTCTTGCTACTCACTAGTGTTTCTCTTTTTTCTAATTCTTTCACACTCAGTAACCCCCTGTGTCTTAGTGGCTTTGCTGCCTTGCATGGAGTGATATTATATATATATTTTGAACAATAGAAAATATTAAAATCTTCAGAAACACTGGGTTGTAGATTAATATTCTTTCGTTTTTATTATTTCATTTAGATTCCTCAACTAGTTTCGGCCAAAATGGCCATCATCAGGAGAAGAAATATTTCTGCTTGCTGGTAGCAGTAAACTACAGAAATGAATGTCTTGATGGGGAAAATGAACTTTTGTCTGTAGTTTTCATTTGTTTTTATATATATATATATATATATATATATATATATATATATATATATATATATATATACAGTTTGAAAGTCAAAAATTCCATGCAAAAACCTACAAAATCTTTCATTTAACTACACAACTAGATTTCTATAATTCAAACTGAAATACTCAGCAATTCAAATTGAATATCTTCTTTATGCCCAGAGATGGAGCTTTGTGACATGACATTATTTGATTAACTTGTGTTCTATATTTGAAAAGAGTTATGTTCCCCGAAATTTCTTTATAATAGTTGAGTGATAGAATATGAATCTGTGTATGAAAGAATTGATTTACAAGAAATTAACTGCTGGTAATTTGCTGTTTTGACTTTCTTTCATCTTGATTTATTATCTGAGTTAAGGTGACAGATAAATTGGGCAATTCAATGATCCAGGCTCTCATATGTGGATGTCATGCATGACATCCAACTCATTTAGACATTAGAAAAGCTATCAGCAATGTACAAACATTTTCTCAGATCATTAACTAAAAATGACCTCAAGCAAAAGAACCCTCTAAGTTTCTCTGGGTGCTCCACACCTTTAGGCCTGTGCCACACCCAAGATACTCTTAAAAACATCATTTGTGGCACTTTAACATGATATAATGGTGAGAGAAAATGTCATATGTTGACTTTCCACACTACTTCAAACAAATGGTTAGGAAGGAAACTCCCATCAATACTAAGAAGAGCAATAACAGTGACTTGATAAACTAATTTTCCTGAAAAATGTTTTTAAGAAAAATATTTTATAAATTTCAACCAACAGTAATGTGGTCAATGAATGTCAAATGTTTCCTTATTAGGAAACAACTAATCTCACTATAACCTTTTAATTCAAATTAATATTTCTCTAATTTGCTTTATTTTATTTTTCTTTCTTGGTATCTTCAAGAAATGAATCAGGGCAAATGCAGTTTATGCCTGTCCACAAAATTTAAAAAAAAAAAAAAAAAAAAACCTATTTGCAGTGTGGTACAATAAAATTTTCACTTCATTTTTATCTGACCTCATATTTAGACAAACTTGAAAATAGAAAAATACAAGGAGAGAAAAACATCAAAAGTAAAACCAATTTTAACATTTTCAATGGAAAATAAGTCAAAGTCTGCTTCTCAACAGAACTACATATGGTAAAAGACAAAACATCTGCAGCCAAGTTTAATGCCTCATTTTTTTTTTTATTTCTATTTTCCTCTTGTACATTAATCTGTGTGGTTCTTTGATATTTATTTCCTATGACCTTGAAAAAGGCCATTGCTGGTAGCTTGAAAACAAACATGCAAAATATGAGAGGTAATAAAATGAATTTCTTTGATGATGAAGAACAATACAAGGTTTGGGCAGTTGGTTGTTCTCTCCCAGAAAACCTGAAAGAAAACCAATAGAAAGGCCTCACCTGCAGTAGATGTCAGCAGTAGTAAACGACGGCCAATGCGTTCGACCAGGTAAAAACCAACGAACGTGCCAAGGAAATTTATCAAGGTAGGAATGGTTGACAGCCAGATAGTGACAGTATCGTCATAAACTCCAGCCATCTTCACAACCATGCCACTGTAGAAGCTGTTGATTGAAAGAACTTGTTCAACAAAATACATTCAAAATTTTTTTCAGAAGATTAGCAGGTTTTGGACTGTGTGAGAAGATGAAACCCACCAGGGTCAGCAGTAGTTAATAATTTCATCAGTAGTATTAAAGAGAAATGAAAATTCCCCCCAAAATCTATGGAATACAAGATTGAAGATTTTATTTTCTGAAAAATATTATTATATAGTAAATCTAAGTATAAAGAGAAAATAAAAACAGAAAAGAAAATAGTTTGAAATTCTGAATCCCTTAAAAAAAAAAAAAAAAAAAAAAAAAAAAGGCTGATCATAGGAAAGACTTGTAAAAATGCAAGAAAAATTATTAACTGCCAATTGTCATAAGAACAATCCACAGTATAAATAGAAAAATTAATTTGCACTATTTACATTTCGGCTGTTGTATGTTCCAGCTGAAACATTGTGAATATTACAACAAAGATGAGGACAACTGTCTGAACACTGTAAATAGTTACAATACCTCATTTCAGAAATGTAGACAGACAAAAATTAATGTTTTGCAACTTTGAAAAGTACAGCAACTACTTATAGCCTCTGATTTAAACAATATTCATAAATGATAAGGAAAACAATGTAAACAGTGTATGTTTACATTGTTTTCCTTATCATTGTCGCCATATTCATGATGTTTCAGTTGTTGTACACTATGGCCTTCTTCAGGTGATTGGAATTTTGAACTGAACCCTTTATTTTATCCACTAGCGTGTACTGTTTTAGTGCCACGTGCCATGCCTCTTTCAAATGTCTTGGTTCAAAATTCCAATCACCTGATGAAGACCAGAGCGTACAATGGCCAAAATATCATGAATATGGCAATAAAAATGAGGACAACAGTCCAAACAATGGAAATAGCATAAATAATTACAATACCTCATCTCAGAAATATAGACCAATATTCCTAATGTTTAAAATTCAGTACAACTAAAAAAAAGCCCAAACCTATTTTAAAAAAATTTGAGCTATACACCAACTTTTGTTTTTGGCCTTCAATAATGACAAATAAAAACTAAGATTTTATTTAGAAAAAAAAGGCAAAATTTATTCTTAAGTGATTTTCTTAGTTCCACTTTTTATAAACTGAATCTGATTTTAATTTGAGAAAAAGGAATTCTTCCTGATTCATAATTATAGTCACATTAACATTTTTTAAATCACAAATATTAACCAATCACCTTTAGATTTACAGCTTCATGGTTCAAATAAACATCTTCTAGAAATAATAAACAAACTTTGAGATTCTTTATATTGTTACGATATAAAAGAAAAGAAATTTCCAAATCAAGTAAAAAGGAAAAAGTTATTAAGAAATGTTTGAAATATTTAGAAATTTCACTTGTGAAATATTTTCATCTACAAACTTCATTCACTACACACATGATCATTCTTGATGATAATGAGATTAGAAAAAAGAAACCAGATTTTAGTGAAAATAAAAAGCTACAAAACCTTGATTGGACTAGAAAGAATAAAATAAGCATTAGGGCCAAACCAAAATTGATATACAAGTATATTTATAAAAAAAAAAAAAAAAAAAAAAAAAGTGATGTCGGAATAAAAGTTTGAAATAACAAAAAATTTTTAGTTAAAAAATTATTCAAGTGTAGCAGGTGGGGAAGGAGAAGTTAAGAAAGGTAAAAACAGGGTGGTGGGGGCAGAGAATATCAGTAACAAAAGGAAACACCCAGCCAAATAGAAAACTGATGCTTCTCCACCACCAGGGAATATTTTAGTTAATTGGCGGCGGGAACCTTTTAGATGGAAGAACATAAAAAGTGAACCAAATATGCTTCCTGCTATTTTTGTCTCTTTTTTACCAAATTTTATATAACATCACTCTTGCATTCAAATGACTGAGGTTATCAGCAAGAAGACTTGTTGGTTTTTTTGCTGCTTTCTAGAATGAATGATGTAAATGTGGGCTTAAGGGAAACAAGTTATTTCAACGAATAGGTTAAGTATAATAACTGGTAGAATGCTAAAAAAAAAAAAAAAAAAAAAAAAAAAAGGTGGGTCTTTTTTTTCTTTTCAATTGAAGCAGAGATAGCATCCATGTTCTTTATTTTATTCATTTTCTTTGCATTGTTTTACTTTAAACCTATGTGTCGAGGAGGAGGAGTTCAAAGTAAGGTTCAAATGTTAAAATCCAGACAAAAAGAACAAGAAGAAAATATTTCAAAAAGTTTTAAACAAGTTACAGTTAAACAGTTTCAGTCAATCAGTAATGATTCGGTTTTGATTGTTTATTAGAGAAGATATGTTGCATAAGGTTTTTTCTTTTCTGGAACTAGTAACTCAAGCAGAACAAAAACAATTTTTTTTTTTCTACCAATATTATAATATGCTCCCAAATCTAATATTTATCATTTGACAATTAAGCACTAGAACTGATTTTGAAGATTTAAACCATAGAATTTCTTTCAGGAATTCCTCATCGATAAATCAATATTTTTGCATTTTATGCATAAAGTGCAGCTGAAGTGGGATTCTTTAAAAAAAAAAAAAAAAAAAAATTCTTCTATTTCTAGATGAGACATATGTTTCCACTTAAGCCAGCCAAACAGACTTTAGATTCCAACCATCAAAACGCGTGCAGTGAAATAATTAGAAGAGAGCATTAAATGTTTAGAATCAAAATGAAATGAAACCAGCGAGATTATATATATATATATATATATATATATATATATATATATATATATATATATTAGAAGCGTTGCCCGTGCTTGATTAAAAAATTGTACGACTCGTACAGCAATCTATCACTTGACTTAAAATATTTTTGCTCTTACTTGCCTTTAAATGAGTGCCCTTTGCCGTGCTGATGTTGCTACATGCCTTACTTCTTGCCTATCTCACACTGCAAATATTTTCTAAGCTCTATACTAAACATTAAATCTGTTACAAAAAAAGAACTAAAAATGAACACAAAACGAGCAGCTTTAAAAAAAGGACTTGTAACTGGAAAAACTGAATGAAAAATGAATGTTAACAACAAATACTTTTTCACACCCAACCCAGTTCTGCAAAATCAGAATCAACATTGAGTTTAAGCAAGAAAATGAGCCAATTGGAGTAAAGTGCCATGCAGATTTAAATTTTCCCCACTTGTGACAAATGCAGCTATCGATTTTTTTTGCATGCTAGTTAACATTCGTGACAGTCAGCTGTTGGCTCTCACATTGGCCAATAGGATCTTCCTGCCTATTTGTGGCAGCCAGTTATAGGCTCTCACTCTGGCCAGTAGAAAATGGCCGCAAACTACATGAAAACTGCCGTAGAAGCATGAAAAAAATCTATTATTTGCACTATTGATGGGAGTTGGGAAATGCAAAGTCGGTCTTGGCGTTCCTGCTAACTTGAAGCATGTGCATGTAAATTTTGGTGCAAATCAGTCAAAAATTGCAGCCGTGCATTCGTTACACACACACACACACACACACACATATCCTGCCCTTTATAGATAGAGATATATATATATATATATGTGTGTGTGTCTTGTTATCTGATGTGATAAGACCTATCTTTCATGTTATATGAATAAAAACTAGCTTCTATATGGAAATGGTAGAAAGGCAGATTAGACACCTATCATTGAAAACAGAGTTTATGATATCTTTAGACAATTGAATCAGACTAATGGTGGCTTCAAATTAGAAACAGATTTCTATTTATTCATAGCAAAGGACATTTTGTATATTAGAACATTTCATTAGTGAGAGTGTTATAGACAAGCGTATGGTTGCAAGAAAGAAATACGACAACAGCAGAAATAGATTTATGTGGTTTATTTCAACAGGAACATGAGGGTTTGGGACAGCTACCTTGGTGTGGTAAAGTTCATAAGCCGGCTTTCAGATCTAGGTCGATCTCTCATGGTAGTTCACACATGTTGATGGTGGTTGATGCTCCCCTGCTGTCAGCTGCTGACCGTGACAGGTCTCTATCCTGGGCACCTGTGGACTGCTGTTGAACTTTCGTGTGACCCCTTTTATAGCGTTTTTTTATGGCTTAACAGGCTCAAAAAAAAAAACGAAGCGAGTATAATTAACAGGGAAGCATTTTTATTGGATGAAAAATAGAACACTTTAAATATTATTTTTCGACCGGAACACGTGTGTCAGGAACATTTGTAAACGAAGATAATGGTCATTTTGTGACGGGGCTTTGTCCCGTTCACATCCGGCTCTCACTCTTGAGTATTTGCCTGTAAATCAGCCAAGATATGTCTTATTTTATTTTATAACAGAGTATTGGACAGAAGATCACAAGATATCCAGTTTCATCCAAAACCAAACAATCACAAAAGTAGATTCAATGCAAAAACCAATCAATAAATTTATGCCTGCCCAAATTTAATCAAAGTCTTCAATTCTTTGGACATATATAATAAAAATATAGTTGTAAAGTCTGCTATATTTATGGGTAAAAGTGATCAATATCCGAGAGATATAAAAGTGGGCACAGAAGTCAATGCAATTTTCAGGCCATGTGTTTTGCTATCAAAACAACAGACATGGCCTGAAGATTGCATGAAAGACTGTCACCATTCAGTGTTTACTTTGTAGATTTCTCACTATTTAACTTATTGGCATTCAGACGAATATCCTCATCATCGTTTTGTCCATTGTGCTTTCTTTGCGTCTGCTAATCTGGGTAAACTTCAGGGAATATTTTATTCAATTTACAGGAATAGATTATTCTCACTGTTGTCTAAAAATCCTTCACTAAGACCAGCCAACAGATCCTCCTTATTTCCCTTGACAAAGGCATGTTGATAATTTATGATAGATTCACAAATAACACATATAGATGGTTTACCATCAGGTCCAAGAGGATTTTGTTTCTTGGTTTTATTCTTTTCATTCTTGGTATGGCTTTGGCTTCTTTTACTGAATCTCTTGTCTTTATACGTATTGTCTCTCCATCCTCTACCACGATAATGCTTCTGTTGATTTCTGTGGACAGAGCTATACTGTGATGAATGCACATTAGTACAGACACAAAAGAGGCCTCAGGTTGCACACAGGCAGGTTTGTCAACATCAGTTACATTCAGGTATTTTCCATAAACAGCGAAACAGTTTGGCATGTCTCACTAGATACAGGCCTCTCTGCAACTGGTCAAAATCCAGGTCTTTGTAAGATGCCTCATTCCAATAAAAGCGGAGAGAAAAAAGTAGTTGGCAAGACACTGTCTTTTGAAGTGGGTCCTGTGCGAATTTTGTTCTTCAAGTTGCTGTGGTTTTTGAGGCAGTGTCATTTTTTTTTGTTACCTTCTATCTCTTTCTATCATCCCCGTAGATGGTGGGAGAGCAATCAGTTAGGCATTTCCCTCCAATCTCAACAGACTCTTTGTTTACATTACTACATATACATAACATCCTTTGTGTGTTCTTCAATATTTTTGTCCAAAGACTGAACCAACAGATGTACACTTAACTCAGACTTTATTTGATAGATCACTGGAGAAGTAGTACTCATTAAAGTCTCATCTAAAACCTATTACCATTTTTATTTGAACTGTCATTTCGTTAAGTGTTATATCTCTGATAGTAGCCATTATTAGTTTTTCACCGTTTTCCCCCCAGATTCGCACTCTTGGCGGGGGGGGGGCACTATTTTAACTGGGTCCCCATTGATACACCTACTGGTATCAAATAAAGTTCCATCTATTTTATCGACACGTTTTACTAAATTCATTTTTATAGCAGACAGTAAATTTCTAGACAATTTCTCTCCCTTTACACATGTAATGACATATCTCCATATAATATTATTCCTTACCTTCTGTAGTGGTATTATATTCCTCCAAGACTATTCCTCCAGGACTTGTGAAGGTGCAATTTACTAGTTTTAATAAAGGTGTTTTTCTCAGATTTTTTTTAAAGTTTTGGTTGGGATAATGTTTATGTTGGCACGTGTGTCAATTTTAAACCTCACCACCGTTATACAATTTTTAAAATTCTTGTATAAATCATGACAATCGTTATCTTCTGTTCTTTAATCCTTATTCTTTTATTGTCCTCTCACCTTAATAACAGCTTTTTTTTTTTTTCTCATTCTCTAACACTCAGTAACCTCTTGCATCCATCCTAGTGGCTTTATTGCCTTGCTTTGAATGAATGAAAGTAAAAAGAAAAGAAGCACTAGTCTGTTCAGGGTCAATCAGAGCAAGGAGGACAGCCTACAAGCAACTTGTTCAAACCTTGGCAAAAATCTTTCACACTATTCAACATCATTAAAGGCTGGAAATTACTCATCCTATTGCCTCATTTCTTACTCAGTAACTTCAGCATATTCTAAGTGGAGCATTGACAAATAGTCGCACTCTTCAAAAAATTGTTAAAAAGATCAGTGCTTCAAATACACTTTGCAGGAAAGGCCATCTATGCTTGGGATCTTGTCCCTATTGTCTAGTCAAAACCATTTTTTTATATTATAAGACCCCCCCCCGCCATCCTTCAAACTTAACTGTTTTTGCCAGGTCAAGCAAAGGTCAACTAAATAGGCACTGAACAAAATCATGTGCAGACCAAGATCCCTGGCAAAAAAATTCTTAAAGCATTTGGTAATGTTATTTTGGGCTTATATTAATCTGTCTCATTTCACTGTTCACTAGCCATGTTTGTTGCCTCAGGTGATATTCTTTTTAACCTTGATTAATGACAACAGCTTGGTCCATCTTGATAAGCAAGGAAGCCAGTTCCATTCTAGCTATGGCTACTTCCGCCACTATCTCTTAATGCATGCAAGTTTTCCAGAAATGATCAGTTAAAAATATTCATTAGCTTAATCAAAATAAAATCAAGTAAATCAGTAAAATTGAAATGTTGAAAATTTTACCGTTTTAATGTTTGTTTTCTTTATTTTAGTCACATCTGGAATATTGGTTTAAGATACTTGTTTCAAACAAAGTTTAAACTGAGAAAACTGAAGTTCATTTTGACTGAAACAAAATTAAGTTTTAATGCATCAGTTGTAAAATCAGACAAACAAAAATTGCTCACTTTCTGAAACCCCAAAATTGGGGAACCCAGATTTAGATTATGAAAAAACATGGAGAGGTTACCAAAAGGGAGAGAACTCACATGATGATATTAATTCCTGACATTTGATTGATGATGTGTAAGGAACATCCAAGCAAGAGAGCTCTTCGGACAGGAGGAGTTTGAAGGATACACATAAATATCTGAAAGGAGGATTTCTCTGAAGAAAACAAAAATTCATATTAAAACATGATAAACACATTTTCAAAATTTTGGAAAATACTTGCTATTATACATTGTTCCTTTCTTCTCATCTTCCTAATCTATCCTTCAATGTCATTGTACACTGTAACCAACTTTACATGTCTTGTATTCAAGACATAAAGTAGGTTACAATGTAAAATGACTTTATAAAATATACAGGGATCACAAAATGTGGGTTTGTGATGTCATTATAAAAGGGAATTCTTACACCTTTGAAAATCCCACAACTACATTCACAATAAATAAAAATTTAAACTGCAAATCCAAAAATGTGATCTATGCACAAAATGCAAGAAGTCATATATAGGCATCAGCCAAGCACTTATCAGAGTTGCCCTTCACAAAAGCAGCATCAAATTACTCAACAACAGAAAACTCTTTATATCACAACACATCTGAATGCAACCAAGGCAAATTTAATATTATGCCAATATACCAAACAGACAACTACTTCTTACAAATTCAAGAAAAAAAAAAAAAAAAAACACATACATACACCTACGCACACACAAACAGGTACCCATGGAGAACAAAATATATATATATATATATATATATATATATATATATATATATACACACTGGCAAAATCAGAGACTACTCTTGGACACACGTGAGCCCTATTCAACACAAGAGGGTGTGTGTGTGTGTGTGTATGTATATATATATAAAATGTGTGTGTATGATGATTCATCTGCAAGCTAACAGACACACACACACAAGATACACAAAAATGAAAATAGATTTTACAGTCTCAGGGGTGATGTGGGGATAGGGTGGGGGGCATCTATCATCACCACCACTAAGACCAAACCTAATGATTATATTACCGCTTAGGCAGAAATTTACTTTTGCCAACAGTCCAAAAATGAGATCAAGGCTCACTACAAATACAGAAAATGAACAATGAAACCTTGAAAGAACACAAGGAAAATTATTCCTTCAAAAATAAATGTATTTTGGTTTGTGGATAACGAAAATTTAGGATACTCACGCTTGTATTCCTTATTTTCATTTTGGTCAGAGATCATCAACTCAAACTCTTTTTCAGGCAATTCCTTCCATAAGAGATTCATCACTTTTTGGGCCTTTGCTAATTGACCCTTTTTAGCCAAGAAACATGTACTTTCAGGAAGGAAAAAGAAAGCCACAAGTTGCAAAGAGGAAGGGAGGATTATTATACCAGACAAAAACCTGAAAAAACACAAGACGGGGAAAAAAAAAAAAAATAGAACAGGATTGATTGATTCCTTTTTAAAGGTTTATCAAAGTCTTTTCAGGTTATTTAAAGCCAAAATATATTTTTGAATATTTAGTAATATTTTTTTTTTTGCGAGTAATTATTGTATTTTAAATTTTTTTTGGAGATAAAGTTTTTCAGATACAAGTTCTATTTGGCTCATAGATTGAGACCATTGGGGTGTTAATAAATCTGCAATCTTTCTTCATTTTTGGGGTGTTAATAAATCTGCAATCTTTCTTCATTTTTGAGACATTTTGCTTAAAGAAACTGCGCACAATCAGTAACACGGTGATCACTGCTATACATACATGCACTATATAAGTATAAAAAATTAATGGATTTATTTCTAATCATCTACTGAAATATGGATATCCACTAAAAATATAATTTGAAGTAATGAAAGTGAAGGCATCTACTCAAATACAGGTATTCAATAAAAATAATATAGAAGTTATATATATATATATATATATATATATATATATATATATATATATTTTTGGTTGTGGAATTAATTTCTTTTTTTTTTTTTTTTTATTATTATTTCATTTAGATTCCTCGACTAGTTTCAGCCAAAATGGCCATCATCAGAAGAAATATTTCTGCTTGCTGGTAGCAGTGAACTACAGAAATGAATGTCTTGATGGAGAAAATGAACTTTTGTCTGTAGTTTTCATTTGTTTTTTTTTTTTTTTTTTTTATCTTTTTAACATGAATCTTTTAACAATCCTTGTGTTGGTCAAATCCTTGTGTTATCTGAAATAAGAACTTAAAGTTCTTATTTGAGATAAGAGCTGGATGGATCTATGCTTCTCTGAATTCCCGTGGTCATTTTGACAGTTTTATTGTTCTGGAGAGGGGATGTGTCTTTCTTTAGTGTTTGTGTGTGTGTTATTTGGTTCTTAGGGAGTGAGTGAGTATATATGTAAGCATGTGTATTGCTGTGGGTGTGTGTTATCATTTGGCTCATTAGGGAGTGAGTGAGTATGATGTGTGTAAGCGTGTATATTCGTGTGGGTGTGTGTATAAGTGTGAGGCCTCTACACCTCTGTAAGCATGTCTGTCTTGTGTGGGTGAGAAATGTGGGTAGGTTTTGATTTGTTGAGTTATATATTAGTACTATCTATATTGTTAAATTTATGGTTTAGCCCAGCTGGATGTTGTGTTTTTAGACATTGTATCCACTTAATTTCATGGTACTTTAAAATCTTTCTAATGTTATCTGCTCTGAACTTTTCTATTCTCTCAATTATAGTGAATTTGGCATGGGTTTTGAAATCGTGTTTTTCCAGGCGGAAATGTTGTTCTACAGGTAATAATTTTTCATGGGGAGTCGACTTAATTCGATTGCGATAATTATTAATTCTGTAGTGAAAGGGCCATTCAGATTTTCCTACATATTGTTTCTGGCATAATGTGCATTCTAGGAGGTAAATTATGTTATGACTTCTACAGTTAGAATCGTGGTAGATTTTGAAAGTAGATTTAGTGATTGAGCTAGTGAATGAATTTGTGTGTTTAATATGGTTGCAACATAAACTTCTTTTGTTTTTTTTACATGGTTGGGAAAATACTGTTGTTTTTGTTCTTAGTTTATTACGGATTACCTTGTCCCCTGAAATGTGGTTACTACCTATGATTTCTTTTAGGTTCTTAGGTCTACGATATGCAAGAAGGCCGGGTTCCTTAAACAATTTTTTTAGGTCTGGTTTGTGATGTAGTATTTCCCAGCGACGTTTGATTATTTGGGATAGTGGAGGCAGAGTAGGGTTGAAATTGGTTACTCGAGGGATGCGGCTAGATTTATTTTTAATCTTGTACATTAGGGTGTCTTCTCTAGATGTGGAAATTGCTTTATTTGTTCCCTGATTAGGTGTTGTTTATAGTCACATGTTGTGAATTGATGCTCCAGGTTTTCAATGTGTTTATTTAATTCTTCATTGTTGGAACATATCTTTCTGAGTCTAAGTGCTTGTGAATAGTGAAGGTTCTCTTTGAGGTGTTTAGGGTGGGAAGACAAAGTGTAGATAGTTGTGGGTGTCGGTGATTTTAGTGTGTAGTGTCGTTTGTAGTTTCCTGTTTTCATCTATGTAAATGCGGAAGTCTAAAAATGTTACTGATGTTGTAGATTTTTTATAGTCAAATTTAATTGAGTCGTGCACTGTGTTTAGGGTCATAAGGAATTGGGTAAGTTTGTCATCACTACCTGTGTATACAAAGAATATATCATCGATATATCTTGCATAGAATACGAGTCGCTACCAATGATTGGATAGATATGGGTTTCCTCAAATTTTCCCATGAATATTGTAGCATATGATGGAGCTGCAATGGTGTCCATGGCACAACCTCTTATTTGAAGGTAGTGTGCTCCATTGAAGTTAAAAGTATTCAATGTAAGGACATGCTCCATGAGTTTTATGATAACTTCTGTGGGGGGGGGTCTTGTTTTCTTCTTTAGTAAAATTGCTTCCTGAAGGGCGGTTAGCCCTTCGATGTGTTTAATGTTTGAATAGAATGACTTAACGTCCATAGTCACTAGAATAGCATTCTCTGGAACTGTTTGCATGTGATTAATTTTGTTCAGTAGATCTGTTGTCTCTGATGTAGTATATATATATATATATATATATATATATATATATATATATATATATATATCTCCAATATTTTGTGGCCATCCACTGGATTTAATAATTAGTAAGTTTCATGCCTTCTTTGGCTTAACTAATTCCTTCTAATCTAGGATGCAAAAAATATTTAACCCATGGTTGCATAGTGTCCAATTTTTTTTTTTTTTTTTTTTTTTTTTTTAGAGAGGAGGTTAGCTTAAAATAAAGTCCACCAACCCTAATATGACCTAAACTATTTACATTGTTTGGAATGTTGTCCTCATCTTCATCGCCATATTCACAATGTTTTGGCCATTGTACACTATGGCCTTATTAAGGTGGTTGGAATTTCAAACTGAATCCTTTATTTTGTCAAACAGGGTAGATTGTTCTAGTTCCATAATGCTATGCATCTTCCAGAAATCTCACTATCAGTTATCTCCCTTTAACCCAACTCTCCAAGAGTTTTGTTCACCTCTGCCTGGTATTGAACTCACAACTTTTTGGGTCAAGTCACTGGATTCAACCATTGATTTTATCCACTGGGCCATGTGTCTTTGTGGATAAAATTATTGGTTGAATCAAGGTGACTTTACAATGTTGACCATATTCTTACAATACCTAATATTACAATTAACCAGCAAAGTAGATTAGGCAAAAAGAGAAACTTTATATCATTATTACTATTCTTAACAGAATATCTCATAAACCCCTGCAAAAAGAGAAAATCCTTGTAAGCTTGGCATGCAACATTCAGTGTTTAGGTGATTCTTCAAAAATCCAGAATATGGTACTAAACTTTTGACCTGTAATGTACATAATCTAAATCCAGGTGCAACAGTTTATAATAAAATTGAATATGGGTATTTAATAACTTAGTCTGGAGAAAGACTAAGAAATGTTACATTACAGATGGAGAAGTGATTAGCAAGTTTCAAATCAATGCCAATAAATTCTGGCTTCACAGAATTCTCCACAAGTATGACATTGTTGCAAACTTAGCTTTATTATTAAGAATTAGCCAGTACTATAATTAAGAGACAAATTTGTAACATTTGAAGACCATGTCTGTCAAACTGAACAAAAGCAGTGAAGCTGTAAAATAACTTACCGCCAACCTTTATTCTTCAAGTAAAAAAACGATGCAGCAGCAATTCCCGACAACAACTGACCTAAAGTGAGGGCTGCCATATTGAGCATGATGATTGGGCCTCGTATTGAAACCACAGTGTTTTCCGCTAAATATATTGGAATTGACAGACATGACAATCCTGAAAGATAAAAGATTTCATTCCTTTACAGTACCAATGAAATCCAGATACAAAATCCCATCACTTTAATAAGAGAGGAGGGGGCTATGAAATATAATTCCCAAATTCAGCAAACTAAATTTTGCATGTAAATAAAAAAAAAATTGGTTTTAAAATATGTAATAAATTGGCATCTCCTGGGCCAAAATTATATATTACACCATAACTAAACCCCACTCACAAAAAAATAAAATAAAAAATAAAAAGATATGATTCTTTGTTCATTCATTTGTTCTTCAGTCAAGTCATTTGCCTGCAACAGAAAGTGTTTCTGCCAATTAAATCAACAGCAAGATATTCTTTGGTCAGCTATACTTTTTGTCATCAAGTGATGACAAAAATAACAATGATGCCCAATTTGAACTAAAATCGACAGAAACCAAGAAAAAAAAAAAAAAAAAAAAAAAAAAAATAGACAAGAATGTTTTACAATCAAACAATTGTCTTAAGAAAGCATTTAATAGGCATCCAGCTGTGATGATCCCACCCCTTGTTTTTGATTGTGCATATTTTTATTATATCGATAATATTGTGTTGTAGGTTGTAGAGGGAGTAGCAATGGCTAAATGGAAAATAAGTGACAGAACGATCCAAAAGAATGGATAAAGTTTGCAATAACAATAACAAAAAAAAAGAAAAAGCAAAAAGAAAAAAAAAAAAAAAAAAAAAAAAGAAAAAAAAAGAAATAGGAATATAAAAGCAAACAAAATATGTAAGGCAAATTAACAATAATAAGGCAAAGAATCATATTGAATTGATGTTGAAAGAAAGCATATTGACTTCATGACAAGACAGACTAAGAATCTACAATGGAGGAGGGGTTTTTGAATCATTCCTGTCAGGACTGAAACCAACATGGGTCTTCTATGAATCAGTGAAGGAAGAAATAAGGGATAAAAGTTAAAATGAGAAATAAAAGCTTATTTTGGCAAGATATTGAATAAAGAAGTTTCAAAGTAATTAAGAATCACAAAGTTGAGCAACTCTTTATTTTATTGAGACCTTATTGGTGGTTGTCCGTGATGAGAGAGTCCACCATATATATATATATATATATATATATATATATATATATATATATATATATATATATATATACACACACACACACACACAAAAAAAAGTGGGCATTGAAGCCAACATCCAACAGTCTATTTCATGCTAAATACAATTGTCAGGCATGAAAACAAATTTTTACTATGAGACTTAAAAATCAAAAACTAACAAAAATAAATGAAAATAAATAAACAAAATAAAACAATCCGAACAAATAAGTAAAAAAAGAAATTAACAAGCCACAGATAAACACAAGCAAACATAAGCAACAAGAAAATAATAAGAAATAAACAACGTTAACTAACAACACTATAAATAGCTAAAAAACTGCATTAGGATCCAGTATATTTTTGCACTTAATAACCCCCAGAATAATTTGAACCCTTAATTCCCACCAAATAACCATTAGAATATGTAGCAGGAATAATAACTTATCAGTTCAGCAGAGGAGGAGAACTCTGTTGGGTCTTTTCTGCCCTTGATAGGAACTCATGTCCTTCAGAATGCAAAAAACACAGTTTAAGCATAATGTGGGTGTGGTGAGTAACGCAACAATTCAACTGATGATAGCAGGTAGGCACAAAGAAAACCGGTGTCACACGTCCAACCTTCTAATGAGCCGAAAGCTCTCTGATCTGAAACAGCAAAACGAGCCTGCTTTATACAGCCGCGGACCAACCACAATTTGCATGCGAATGACAAGACAACGAGATTTCGCGTTAACTAACCGAGACCGCCTGGCATAAAACTTTCGGTTTTCTTTTACTGTTGGAAGGACCAGAGTTTGCATACTGCGCCGATTCGAACGCGTTTCCGAGGTAAGCCATTTTCACAATTTTCCCCACACTCCCCCCTGATCTCATGATCACAAAGAGGGCAGGGAGGTGGCGATTGTCGCCGTCGAGTCCCCCTCTGAAGGGGCATAACACAAGCTTCATCCTCGTGCGTGTTCTCGTCTGTGGTTTGAGTGTCGGTAAACACTGTGTCCGCCGGGAGGCTGCTGTTATCAGAATCGCTGCCCTGCAGGTCTAACTCAAGGCAGATTGAACGCTCACTACTCCCAGACTCGGAATCGCTTTCATCGCTCGGTAGCGGTAGTGATTGCATCAACGGTCGCAAGTCTTTGATGTGACGAGGCACCCCATCAACTCTCACAGATTGCGGGCTGATCACCTCCGTAACACGCCCAGTGCCGTATTTTGTCGTACACTTGCCGCGTGGGTTTTTGACCCAAATAACGTCTCCTTTTTCAATCTCCCTCCAGTCACTTCTAGTTCAGGCAGCGGGTTGGCTTTGATGCCTTTCACACGGACATGATATTTGTGCAGTGCATCAGCGGCGCCGTGGATGGTGAAATGTTATCTTTCGGGGTGACATTATACCAGTAAACCGCCTCCGATACTGTACAGCCCTTCCTGGCTGCGATGGTCTTGATGGTTCTGTGGTTCCGCTCCACAATGCCGTTTCCACTTGGCGAGTAGGCACATCGAAACCGCAGATGCACGTCCCAAAGTGTCCGCAAATTCTTTAAAATCTTTACTGGTGAATGCAGTATCGTTATCCGTCAGTATTTCCATGGGTGGGCCTCACTCCAGGAAAACATTCTCCAACAGTCGAATGATGGTGCTCGCGTCTTGTCTGCGCAGCCGCCATACCGCAAACCTGGAGGGACGCAATCAATGAGTGTTAAAAATTCTCACCATTGTAGTGAGTTATGTCCATTGCCAGTCTGCTCCAGTTGCTCTTCACGCTCAGTTCTCCTTTTTCCCAGTGAACGGGTGCGGATCGATCGACTGACAGGTTGTGCAGGCCTTCACAACGGATTTAACGCTTTCTCTGGACACCTGCAGGTCGACTAACCTGGTGAAGTACAGAGTTCGTTTCACGCCGGATGTCCGCATTGACGATGCGTATTTGCAACCTGGTCCTCATCCAGTCCTCTCCCTGCCACTGCACAGCTCTCGAGTGCGGTTCTCCTCTCTTGAGCAGTTCTAGCCACCTGTGCGGTACTCTGGTGAGGCGATCCGCCGGTTCTGACAGGACTGCACGAAAGTGTCACGTCTACGGTCAATCCATATTCTTCCACCAGCGATCGCAAAATGCCCAGCCGTCGCCTGACCAGCATCTCACCAGCGCCCTTGTGTTCACCCGTGCCTTCCCGGTCAAGGTGTCTGAAATCCACCGGTGCACACACGCCCGAATCAGTAACCAAGTGCAACGTTGTTGCCTCCCACTGGAGAGCTAGATTCACTCCTTTAAGCGCTGCATCGAGTTCAGCCAAATTAATATGCCTGGCATCATTAGTCAGACGCAGCTAGCCGCGTAAGACAGAAGCGTTGGCCTTTGAAAATAACCATTTGAAATGGCCACAGCGCTTCGTCGATGTGAATCTGAAGATATGCGTTCCGCAGATCCAGAAGCGACACATTGACTCCCTGCCGCCACCACGCTTCTCAACTTATGTGCGCACACTTCTGCGTCGGCAGTGAAAGCATCCACAAAGTCGTTCAATTCACGGTAATCGAGTACTGGACGCACCTTCTGTTTCTGCTCCTGCGACTGCCATCAAGGGAATCAGACCCTTTGGGGGACCCAGTCTTTCCTGGGGGTGCGGAATCAGCCAGCCGTTCACAATCCACTGCTGAATCTCTTTCTCGTATTTTCCTCTGATGCTGTCGGGAACTTTGTACTCTGCGACCTTGTTGTGAAGCTGAACTGGCGGGTCTTTTTGGGCCCATTTCCACCTGGCGGTCCACACCCTCTCGTCGGAATTGAAGGAGACGTCGAAATCCGGCTCACTAATGCAAAGGGCTGCACACACCTTTCTTCTTTCACCCAGTTCCACATTTCCGGCTGGCGTGATCATCATGCCTCCTAACGCTCGGATCGCATCAATCCCAAGTAGCAGGTTGCACCCGAGGGGCCTTTGACGTGCCACCAAGACATCGACTTTGGCATGACTCCCTCCGTCTGTTAGGACTGACACAGTCCCGACACCACAACAGGCCCGGGACACCTTGTCAATTGTCCGAATCTCGATTTGTTGACTGTTCCATGTCACGCATCGATCCACACTAACGATGGATCGGGAACATCCAGTGTCAACAAGCGCCAAACATCGTTTACCCTCAATGTACACGTTGACAACAGGCAATGCCGCATTTACTGACCGAGAGGGGGCAAGGGTTGTGATAGCACCTTGTCCTCGGACTCGTTCGAGCAATCCTGTGCTACATGGCCTAACTCTTTGCAGCGATAGCAGCGTAAAGTCGTGCTTTCGGTTCCGTCTGCTGCTCCCTCCTCCCACGCCACTTCGCTCCGGCAGTCCCTAGAGAAAATGGTTGGGTCCACTGCACTTGTAGCACTTTGGGCCCTCCCTCGGTGTCTCAGGCGTTCTCCGGCTGCCGTGACCTGTTCCGTGTCCTTCAAGATGTTTGGGGCCCTGGCTAGCAATTCGTCAATTCCCAGTGTGTCCAATCTTGAAGACGCCGCGAGGAGCCGACTGGTGTTGTCGGGAAGCCCCTGCCAGGAAGGCACACCCCAGTATGTGGTCCGTTGCTCTGCCAAACGGTACTGCCAGCCTTCGCCAAATCAGCCAGGTAAACATCCACGGTCTCACCCAGCTCGAGCTGTCATCATCCGACGAACTGTTTCCAAGCGATGAATGGGTCTATTCAAAAGGCCGTATACAGGGCGTCCTTGATCTCTTCTAGGTCAGCATCGTCCCCGAGTTGTTGATATACTGCGAGGGCTCCCCCGTGAGTCTCAGTGGGATGACCAGTGCAGGTTCCCTTATTTTGGACACCCTGCAAACACGTTCGGCCTTTTCAAACCATTCAACGATAGTCGGGCCCGTGGGGGAGCTGTCGAATTCTGGGATCAATTTTAGATCGAAAATGTCCATC